TTATTTTTGCACCCTTTGGCAGTTCGTAAATTGCATTCCAGAGCGTTGGCCCGAGGATGCTTATGGCACGCCACCGGAGATATTATATTTTTTGACTCTGTCGTCTGTTCCATAAATCAAAACCCGGTCGGAGAGATAGTTGCTTATAATCCTCCGAAGATATGTCAGAACTTTAAACTTCTGGAGGGAGTAACCAGCAAAATGTATAGTTATGTTATTGGTTTTGTTCCATTTTATTAGGTGCTTTTTTCTCTGTGTACAGTAAACCAGCTTACGCAAGTTTTTTGATAATATATGTAAATATGTCTTAATAGATCTGAAGAAGATTCCGAATAGACCTAATACTAAATTAACATTACTATATGCATACATACATACATATGTTCCTCGTAATGCGACCTATCATCTATAAAGTGATCGCATCGACCTCTGGTTCCACCAGCAGATCTGAGTTTAGCGAAGAAATGGGATGAATAAAACTATGTTCAGGTCCTATATAGGCGTTGAGTTTCCTTAAAACGCCCATTACGCCGAGTAGAGCTTAAAAAAAAAATAATACAAAACTGTTCTAAAAATAATACTAGCATATGTATAACGAATCGAGTCCAAGGACCTGAATAATATTTTATTTTCTGTTTCTTCTTTTTTTTTATAAAAATAATAACATGAAATCAGATAGCGGCTGAATTGCGGCAATTTAAGGATTTCCGTTTCGAAGTGCAGAGTTTGTGTACGTGCTTACATTTATGTCAACCGTTTTAGAGATAACAAAAAGTTATAGAAATTTATGAGCATTTTACTTAATTGTCGGTACGCTTAAAAATTTATTGCTTTGACACTAATTGGTCATTCTGTTGATACAAATGTATGTATGTGTATTCATATGCATATGGATGGTCGCTCTTAATAAATTATTCCATTTAAAATTAAAATATGTCAAAATTCGTAGATAATAAATTTCAAAACTAAACAAAAAAAATATTTATGTGCATAACTACGAGTATGTAGTGCAGCAACAAATATGACTAAGCATTTGTTTTTGGTGGTAGAAAATATAAAAAACTCTACGAAAACGAGAATATTGAGTCCTTTCCGAAGTATGTAATATGGGGAGTATGTGAAACCAGGGCTGCAAACCGATTTTGTACCGAACGGCGCGGTTGATACGCCAATATTTTAACTTTCTGCCGAAATTATGAAATTTATTGTATTCCAAGATCACAGGCAAAATTCTTTGGAAAAATATTAAAATATACGTCAGCTGAATACCTCCATTCATATTATTTTGCTTCCGTTGATAAAATTTAATTTTTATGTAGGCTTAAACTCAGGCTTGAGGTGACTTTTCGAAAAAAATTGTACCATTTTTTTTTTTTTTTTTTTGGGGGTAATGTATCCTAATGAAAATATTTGTATATATGCACTAGCAGAGCCAGTGAACTTCGTAGCGCTCAAAATTATTATTTTTTGGTCCAACATTTTCACCAACAATTCACGTTCACGATTTATCTGCTAATATTATGGTATGAAGTAGGGCGTTCTTGAAAATTTTTCTGAGATAGGGCTTTTTCGAACTGGTTGCCAAGATAGGTCGATCTTCCACTCAGTTACCGAAGTCAAGTTTTTCGACCCGTACCCGCGAGATTTCATTGGAGCGCGCCGGTCCCTTTTCAAATGCCGGGCCCGTACCCATCTCTAGTTCGCACCACTGAACCGAACCGAACAAAAAATTAATTGGCATTCTAATTTTATCTGGTTGATGTAGAAAAAAAAGTACTTGTTGACGCCATCCTTTGGCGCAGCACTCTGCAATAGCTAATAGGTTAAAAATCATTTCACAAAAGTTCATAAACAAAAATTGTATTTAACGTTATTGAGATAATTTTTTAAATCAACTCGTGCCAACATGTTCACAGCAGCGTAACGTTAATATAAAAACCAGGCAGGCGATGCTTAAACAAATTATAATTAGTTGAGTTTTTATTGTAGTTTAATTCTAGTCCAAATTAGCCAAATTAATTTGGTATGGCTATCAACAATTTCGCTATTTCAAATTGCCCAAAAATCATTAAATCGAATTAGTTGATATTTTCAATAAAAAAGTGTTTTCATTTCTAAAAGCGCATAAACAGAAAGTTTTTGCAGAAAAGCAACAAGTTAAATGCAAACGGATCTAATTTTGCTTTCGCATTTTATTTTTCCACTGATCACTAAACATTAAGTTCGCTAATAACACCTATTAGTTTTAATATTAAATGAAATTAAATTTTTCTTTCTTACAGCTCATTAACTTGCTTGGAAGTAGTTTTAATAAACTTATTCGAATATTCTGTATATGACACATCTGTTAAATATGTCCATAAACAAGGAACAAATGGATCCATATATGAAGGCGACACACACCAAACGCTTCGTTGTAGAAGATTCAAGTAAGTAAAGGACATTTTATTGTATTGTATTAGTAATATTCTGTTTTTCAAGGACTAGGAAAATAATAATTGGCCACAAAAGATTAAAATTAAGCACTTGATGCAAAAGATCAGACTTTTAAAAAGTATTTAGGAAATACTTTAAACGATTGAAACAAATTATATATCAGACTAAAGATTCTAAAATTTAGTATCTCGTATGTATATATAATTTTTCCGTAAGTCTTAAAGTTGTCGATATATTTTCAAATAACATGCAAAAAATAATAATTTTTCATACTCAAACATTATTTTCCATACTCAAACATTTTCTGTATCGGGTTAATTCAGTAAACAATTGAATAAGCGTAAAAAAGGTCCGAATAATATTTCAAACTTTTTTTTTTAGTTTTTGTATGTCTATACTAGCAAATACCCGGCGTGCATTACTGCGCCTTAAAAGTATTTTTGTGCTATTTGGTACCCGTATTGTAATATTTCATTCATTTTATCAATTTAATTCAATACAAATTTTCAAACAGATGGCAACCCCCTTAAAAATTTTTTCGGAAGTCAACTTCCCTAAACCTTTTCAGTTTTATACCCATATTGCAATATTTAATTTATCTTATGAATTAAATTAAATTAGAGTTTTCAAACATGTGGCAACCTCCACAAAAATTTTTTAGGCTGTAAGCCTTATTAAACCTCTTTTTCTTTTGACAGCCATATTGCAATATTTCCTTTATCTTATAGATTTATTTAAACTGAAATTTTCAAACAGGTGGCAAATCTCAAATTTTTTTCAGTTAGACCTCTAGCAATACATCGATGAAAACTGTATTCATTTTCATGCATTAGTTTTCGAGTGATACGCATACAAACATACATAGGCCTGTAATTGATCTCATAAAACAACATCTTTTCACTATTTTAAAAGGATTAAATAAAAATAAATATTTCGACCCGCACTAGGATATATACATATCTGTGTTCGAATAGAAAAGTAGCTTATGTCGAAAGTTGGGCTTTAGTATAATGCGGCATTCCCTTTATTCTTTAAACGATAAAGAATTTTTGGATGAGACTCAATAAGAATATTGACTTGCTATTATCGGAACTATTTATTGCACGTTTATTTGCCAAAAGTTGTTCAACGGCTCAGCGCCTGTGAGTCATTCGCAATCGCTGCGAATGCCGATTTATAATAAAGCCAGCATTTTGACATATGCGACTTTTCCATAACCAATTTAAAAGTGAAATTGCATCTCTATCAGCGTTTTATGTAAATATTTTTCGTTTGCAATACGCTTTTGTAGGAGATGCTCAAACTTTTAAGGCATTCGGTAGCGAGTTCGCTTTTTTTAAATTTTAATTGTATTTGAGAGAAAACAGTTGTCATTTTACATACATATTTAATTCGATTCGAATCGGATGCCGTAATTCGGGCGTGAAATAAATTTTTTTGTTGCTAAAAAAGTTGAAAATTTTGATGACATTTTTTTTTTTAATTTTGATAAATTTTTCTGAACTGTACACAAATTTTTAAACTTTGACTTATGTGGTTTATATTGTAGAATATACTATATTTTTATAAAAAAATTAACGAAAAAAAATTATCACGTAAAACATTTTGAATATTGTAAAAAATAAAAGTATGCCATTTATGTGAGCGCCACTGTGTGTACTACACATGTAGAACATCGAACGCTTGGCATGGAAGTGTAATGAAAATTTTTCATTCACGGAAGGCGTATGGCATGTAAAACTGGAAAAGTAAATTCATTTATTGTAGGTTTGCACAACATTTAGTAGTCTGCGCAAACAATTACGGCGCCAACTGGTTTGCACAAACAAGTTTGCACAAGCCATCATAAAAACGAAGCGCGCTGTTTAATAAAATATAATGGCTTACAAAATCACATTTTAATTAGCAGAGTATTAGTTAATTGCATACATATGTATGTATGTATTTGCGCAATGTATACCATTGCCACCGACTAGTTTGGCTACTCCCTTTGCTTTAAATCATTGCGATTGCATCCATGACATTCTATTATCGGATCAATTTACTTATTCAACTTGATACTCATCTTCAATCGCTCGAATTAAATGCCACAATGTCTATGTATGTATGTACATACCTACACCACACACGCTAAACATTTACCGGGCAACCCATCAAAGGCGGAAAAGTGGTAAAACGTGTTAAACACGCACGACTATGTTTATTTTTTGTTGTTGCCTTTTGATATTGTTTTAGTTTGCATAATTGCCGCATTATAAAGAAGGTGTGAACGAGCGACTAATTTACATACATGCATACATATATACATACATATGTACATGCGAAATCGCACAGCGGTAGTTAAACTTTTTATTGCTTGTTTTGTTTTAAACGCAAAAGGAATTGATAATTTTTTGGAAGGGAATATATTTTTGCGTACCTTTGTATGGTTATAAAATTGATTGTGTTTAATAGTTATTAAAAAGTTCCCTGAAAGTATCTTTGAAATGTAAAATCGAATAAGGGCAGTCGTGAGTATGTAAATAAGTATTTAAGTCATTCGCTAATGGGTTTTTACACGTGTGTCTGGTGCGTTTTTTATTATCCATTAACTTCTGACCATGGGCCTATACCGAAAGATTGTGTACAAAAATTAATGTTTTAATTTCGTGCTTTTTATGTACAAAATCCTTGACACAATCAAGTCACTCGATTAAATTTGTGTAATTTGTATGAATTGTTCAACAAAAGAAGAATTTACATGTAACATTTACATGTTACATTTTGACTACAAGATTTAGTGAACATTTTTGATGCAACTTTATCAATTTAATTCCCTCTTTTACCGGTTATATTATAGGCCAAAAACGGACAGATAGTCGATTTAGCAGCGCAGGCCTATTCCGGTCCATATTAATCTATAAAACGTTGTTTAGTCTCATTTGAAAATTACAAATGCCATTGATTTTCACAAAGTGAAAACCAGTATTTATATACTCTAGGGTAGTGTGACCAGGTTTGCCTTTTGTTGCTAGATTTAGCATTCAATTTTATGCCATAGCCCCAGAAGTTTAGTTCCAGTTGCTTGGCTCTTTTTCTAGCCTTTCTTTACATCAAATAGTCATAATAAAAGTCGTACCGAAACTTATGTATAAAAATAAGTAGATGTCATGGTTGGTAGGTAGCATGGCGGAATTATACCAGGTGAAGTAATTAGAGCGAGAAGAAAGGTTTTATTTGTTTTATTTGAAAAATTACCTTTAAAATTTGACTATAAGGCAGCCGCATGTCAGAAAGTAAAGCCAGAAAGCTGTTTTTTTACTTCACCTGTTTATTGCGCCATGGGTAGGTCGCAAGCGTCGCCTATGCACAAGCCCAGGACCCAATTAGTGTTGATAGCAAGATTTTGATACGCTTTCTCTGAATTCCTTGATTTTCCTGATGCATTTTTTGATGAATCTGTTCAGGCTAGTAATGATGCATTTGGAGATCTTCCCTAAGTAGAGGTTATAACAAAAATTCTTAACATTTTAGAAACTACCGTTTACCGTTTACAAATAACAATGGCTGTGAAAACCCTCATTTCTTTGAGGAAATTATTAAATTTCGTTGTTTTTTTTTAAGTTACGTCAATGATTACTCAACACGTCAACTTAGCCGGAAGCGAAAATATATATTTTTTTTCCTGTTTTTCCTTACTTAATTTTTCATAGGATGTAACCTTTTCTGACTATTTTTAAAAGTCAATTAAGCTTTGGTTTTTATGCTCATCTGCTCACACTGCTCTAGAGTTTCCAATGCCACTTCGCTAAATCTCTTGGCCGTCTCTACAGACAGTCTCATCTTGTCAATATTCTGTCAGCAACTAATAAAAGTTCTTGCCTTAGAGTCCTCCATCTAAATTCATCTGAGGCGTTCTGCGGCTCTGCTAGAAGCATTCTTAAACCTGTTGGATTGCCTTTTCTACATTGGTCATTCGTCCTTCGGTGACAACTCAGTAATACTCCTACCATCTTATCACCCCTTTTGGAAGAATCACATAATGGATGGGAACGCTATAGTCTCGGATAGACTAAACTTTTTTGTGAGCGTGTCTGCCGATCCCAACATAGGATAACCTCGTATACCGACATAATTGATTCAAGACAGCTTTTAATGCTGATACCTAGGTCAAGTTTAGCTTCATCAGCATACCATGTTTGGACTTCTTCCCCTATCGTTGTGAGTAATCGTCTGCGAGAGGATCACACTTATTGGATGATAACTTCGGTAGTATTGCCTCTGTGACTTTTACAGCGGGATCATTAAAAAAAATGATTTAAAGCCCTATGAGTTCGTCATGATTTTTGATTTTTGACTATCACATACATACATACTTATGTGATATTTTCATTAAGGGGTACCAACTATCTCCTTTGCGAATTGTCAACCGCAACCAATGCTTTGCCAACTGCCGTAATGCGAAAATTGCATAAATATACTAAAGCCATAAAAATGTTAATCACCAATTAATTTATAAAACAAACAATTTATAGAGCTAACATTTAATTAGAATGCACATAAAATCAATTAATAAACGATATGTATGTATTTCTCTCTTATTTTGAAATGACAACGGATTGATACTCATATTGAGTAAGTGTACTCCAAAACGTGATTAGCCATGAGAAATCAATATCATTTGAGACATATTAAATTGGCCTAACTCTGATTCTGTGTGCTAAAGAGGAATGAAAGTGGCTCGTTAAATTTGGTGAATGCGTGGCGATGAAAAGAAAAAAGTACTTAATTTATGCGACTTACGTTGGTGGCTGATTAATTTAATTTAAAAGCAAATGTATAACTGTAAAAGCAATTTCGATGTATACTAAATATACAGACATATAAATATGTACATATGTATGTATAAGCAAACACATCCCGGCAGTTAGGTTTTATGTTGATTTTAAGGCAAAGTTTACCACAGTTAACGGCAGTTGCTACAACTGGACACAAAATATACAAGAACGCGTTA